GGGGTGCTATAGCAGCCATCCCAGTATCTGTTAAGTCACCGTTTCCCTGGGGTCCTTTGGCAGCCTCGTTTTCCCTGACGTCCTCACCCAGTGCTTCTACCTGTCATTCCAGGTGATCAATGCCATTGAACAGGACTACCGGTTGCCCCCGCCCCCAGACTGCCCCACCTCCCTGCATCAGCTTATGCTGGACTGTTGGCAGAAAGACCGGAACGCGCGGCCCCGCTTCCCCCAGGTGGTCAGTGCCCTGGACAAGATGATCCGGAACCCTGCCAGCCTCAAAATCGTGGCCCGCGAGAATGGCGGGTGAGGACCCCAGTGGATGGGCCCTCTTTCCTGCACTCTGCCATCCCCTGAGAACCTCGCTTCCCCCTGAGAAGTATCCATCCCTTTGGTGGTATGTGGGATGGTCCCTGTCCACCTCTCCAGGGCTGGGCTGTACGTCCCTACCCTGACACAGGCTGGTTCTCAGTGTGTCCTCCCCATCCTTGCCTCCCAGGGCCTCGCACCCCCTCCTGGATCAGCGGCAGCCTCACTACTCAGCTTTTGGCTCTGTGGGCGAGTGGCTTCGAGCCATCAAGATGGGAAGATACGAAGAAAGTTTTGCAGCCGCTGGGTTTGGCTCCTTCGAGCTGGTCAGCCAGATCTCCACTGAGTAAGTCATGGCAGGAGATGGAGGTGGGGGAGTGGTGAGGGCCAAGCAGCCAGGAGGGGTGGTGCCTGGGGACCAGAATCAGGCCCACAGTTTCAGCAGGGGCCTTTGGGGTCAACTCCTGGTGCCAACTCTGTTTTCTAAAGCCCCTCCCCTGCCAAAGCAGTAACAGCTGCAGGGGCTGAGAGCCCCAGGATTCTTCCCGGTCAGCTGTGCGCGCCTCACCCCCTTGCACCATCTCAGCCCGGGGCCATCTCGCTCCCACCTCGCAATCTGTATGTATCTTCGTGCATCTGTCTGCATTCCAGACCCTGCTCTCACATTAACGACGTGTCAACTCTGGATGCTTTCCCACCCATAAAAGGAGAAGGTTGGACTAGGTTTTGGAGAGCCTTTCCAGCTTTAATGTTAAATGGTTTTATGATTCCAACGCCTCCCAAATGCTGGTTTTCCCTAGCTGGCCTCTCCCTGGTCCTCCTTTCTGCCTTTGCATTTCTCTCCCAACGACTCTTCTTGCCCCAGGTTTGAATCACAGAAATAGAAGGAATATAAACCCAGACACAGAGGGTCCAGGAGGCCCTTCCTCTCCCTGGAAGGCAGGTCCCGGGCCAGTCTGCCCCACCAGGTCTGGGCATCTCCTCCCTGACTTGCTCTAGCCTCGCCTTGACACGGGTTCCCTGACACGAGCTCTTGCCCTCCATTTCTCTCACCTCTTCTTTTTTCCTTATCCCCGTCTCCCCGCATCAGGATGGGGCTGGGAGCAGTTTGTTTTTGTCCTCTCCCGCCCCTTCCTCTCCACCCACCCAGCTCTTTCTTTCTCTTTCTCTTTCTCTCTCTCTCTCTCTCTCTCTCTCTCTCAGCCCGCCCCACCTCCTGCATCTCGACCCCCGCGGGTACCTAGCCCCGCTCCTTACTGCGGCTGCGCAGAACTGTGGCGGCTCCTAAATCCTCCGGAAACTGACTGGCAACTATTGACGTCAGCCCCCTTCCCCGCCGGCCATTCTGATTGGCGGACAGTCCTGAGGCGGGGATGGGGTTTTGGTAGGAGAGCCGCCCGGGAGCCCAGTGGCCTCACCTAGCCGTTCATTCTTCCCCAGGGACCTGCTCCGAATCGGAGTCACTCTGGCGGGGCATCAGAAAAAAATCCTGGCCAGTGTCCAGCACATGAAGTCCCAGGCCAAGCCTGGAGCCTCAGGAGGGTCGGGGACACCAGCGCCCCAGTACTGACCTGCGCCTCCTCGCCTGGCCCCCCCAGCTCTGGAGCGGCAGGGACTCCCACGCTGGGGACACCGCTCCCCTTATTCCTGGGGCAGAATCGGGTGGGGACCCAAGAGGCTCCCATCCCCGGGCCCCACTGGATTGCACTTTGAACCCATGGGGGCGGGGAGCTGGAGAGAAGGGATTTGGGGATTCGGCCGTATGGGAGTGTAGAAATCAGACCCTCCCCAAGCGGGGAACCCCAAACTGAGGGTGTGGGAGCCCTTCCCTCGGGATTGGGTCTGACCAGAGGAAAAGAAGTGCCCAGAATCTGCCAACATCCCGGGGGTGGTTGGGCACAATCCCCACGGCCTCCCTCTGATCCCCAATTAGAGCCCCCAGGTGCCCCTCCTCACCTTGAAGGGCAGCGACCCTGCAGACCAAAGAGAAGGGGGGACTAGCCTGCGAATCGTGAGGCAGGAAGGGGTGGCACGGCCCAGTGACAAAATCATTGGACGTGGATGTCCCAACCTTGCTGCTGTCTCCACCGAATTCGGTTTTCCCTTGTAAATGCCCCTCCCCCATCTGCTGCCTTCATATTGAAGGTTTTTGAGTTTTATTTTTTGTTTTCGGTCTTATTTTTCCTTCCCTTTTTTTTTTTTTATACCGTCCTTGTAACTTTTTGTGTTAGAGGGGACCTGTTTATCGCCTCCTTTGCCCAAGTTGAAACAGGGACCCATCGTTGTGTGTTTCCAGAACAGTGCCTTGGTCACACCACAACCCCAGACATTTCCCTGCCCCCCCAAGTACCCCTAAGCTGTGTCCATGAGGGGGTGTGGGGGGCAGTGGTGTTAGAAACAAGAGACAGACACTGGTGCTTGGAGGGGTTCTTAAATTATATTTAAAACAATTGTTTTGTATAAATAAAAGAAAATGGAAAGTGTCCAGGCTCTGGGGATGATTGGGAGTGGGGTGGGTGGGGGAATAGACTTCTGTGGAGGGTGGGGACTGGTGTGAAGGAGCTTTTGAGCCAGGCTGAGAGGGGTCGGAGGTCTGGAGACGGGGCTGGGTGCTTGGTTCCCAGCCCCACGGTGTGTTTGAGGTGGTAGGGTGGGGGCAGTGGAAGATAGTCATCGGCGGCTCCAGATGGCTCTGCCAATAGCCTGGGGCACCTCCGGGATGGGGTTGCCCTCCCTCCCCTGCCCTGGTTCCCTAGCCCTGGCAGGGGGCTTTGTGAGGCAGGGGAGGCCTTGAGCTCAGAGCCCGGCCCTACAGCCCCGTGAAGGGGGGAGGGGGGAATCTGGGGTGGAGGTCCAGTCACATGAAAGAGACAGATGTGGGCCAGATGTTGACAGCTGGGGTTGGTTTAGAGGCAATGTGGGGGGAGTGTCTGCATTGGCTGTGGAGGAGGGGCAGAGGCTGGAGTGGAGGACGTGGACCCCCCCACAAGTACACACACACACACACACACACACACACACACACACACACGTGTACAGACGCTGCGCTGGGTTGGGAGGACAATTCCCCCTTTCAAGATGCTGCCCAGGCAGGTTCTCCCAGCCTCTTGGGAAGGGAGGGGAAACCACCTGAGTATCTTCCCCTAACTTCTCCCTCCCAAACAGGAAGATGAGATGAGGATGGGGGTCAATGCCCTGAAGTCTTTCTCAGCATCTTTGGTTTCCCAGCCTGCCCGCCCCAGGGGACAACTGCAGGGGCAGCCCTGGACCGGGTCAGGTTTGTCAAGCTGGTGCAGCCCTGCCATTTCTGCATCTCAGCTGACCCCTGTTGTCGTGTTGGGGTCAGTACAGGACCCCAAATCACAATCTCTGCCTCTCCCAGCCCAGGAAGCCTCCGGCAGTGATCCTGTCCCCAATTTCCTGCCTCTACAACTGCCTTCGGGAGTATAATATTCTGGAATCCTCTGTCCCCTCCCTCGATGACACGGCCCAGGTGTTGTACCCCTAAAAGGGGGGTGGGTGAGAGTCCATCCTGCCGATGACAGCGGGGGTCTGGGTCCCCCTACTTCCGGAAGGAGGAAGTCTATCTTGAGGATGCTGGTCCAGGCCACCTCCTTCGCTGCCAACCAGACATCCAGGCTAGATAAGGAGACCTTAGCTGGGTGAGGGGAGGAACCGAGATCAAGGGGGCAGGATATAGATGAAGAACAGAGAGGCAGAGGCTCAAAGAGCAGGAGAAGGGAGCTCAGTGCAGGCAGGCATGCTGCCGGGAGCCCCGTGATGCCCAGGTTAAAGCACGGCCAGTCCAGTTCCAGAATGCCTGAGCCTTCCTGTCACAAGCTCCAGAGTGTGAGCTGCTCCCCCCAGCTAAGGGGCTGGGTGGCCTGGCCAGGGGCACCCCTCCCTTGGAGCCCATTCCCCAGCCAACTTGGGTCTTGCTTCCTTACATGAAGGTGGCTTGTGGGGTCGTTTGCAGGACAAGCACAGAAGGATTCCTTTCTAGAACCAGGGTCTTGCCTGTTTGGCATCCCCTGTCCTTGGGGGTCCCACATCCTGAGCACCCCCAGTTGACAACCTTCTTTTTCTTAGAGCCCAAGCAGGATGTCCCACCCCTTCCCCCAGGACCTGCCTGGTGAGAGGCACGAGGCACAGGGGTCAGGGTGGGAATGTTTGCACTTTGGCCTTTGGCTGAGGTGAGCTGCTCACTCCTAATAGGATGGAGCTCCAAACTCCTCCCAAGCTGGCCCTCAGACTCCACCCTCAGTTACCATAGGAACCCCAAGGCCCTTTTGGTCACAGGCTGGCCGGTTCACCCTTTGGAAAAAGCCACATCCCCAGTCCTTAGCCTCTGCCCAGCGCCTTAGTCGCATCGTTAGAAATGTAAAACCTCAGGATCACCTTTCACTACCTACCGGTGGGGAGCTCTGAGGCCAAGTCCGCCAAGAACAAGGATTCCTGGCGTGAAGACTTTTCTCCTGTATCCCCGAAGCCGGAGGGCGGGTGGCCCACCCTCACGTGGCTTTGTCTAAGGGACAGACAGCCCCTCACCTCCTCAGACCTGTGTTCCCTCCCCTCTGGACGCTCTGTGGAGCCCCCAGCCCTAGACCCTCACACCCCGTCTCCCTCCTACTTCTCCCCTCAAGACCCCCCTCACAGAGCCTTTCTCTACCAGAATCATGTACAAATTCACATCTCAAAAATAAATAATTTTATGTCTCCTTCTTCTGTGGACAACTCAAAACTGAGCGACTTTGAAGGCATGATCTGGAGCAAAATCTGAGGAGAAAGCGAGGAAACCTTGTATTAGAAGCAGACTCGAGTTCCCGGAGCCAAAGCTGTGGACGGTGGGGCTGGTGCTCACCGGTACCTGGCAGCTCGTCTCTGGTCTGGCTCTGCATTTTCTCCCTAGAGGGCGTGGGGAACAGACAGCAGCTTGAAGGTCGGCGCCCGCTCCCCGTGTTTGCTCCCCTACCAGCCGCCCCTCCTCTTCCCCTTTTTTGAAACTCACCCCCTCCTCTTCCTGGAAATGCATTCTCTGGTCACTGCTGACACTATGACCAGCACAGGCACCAGCAATCCCAACAGGATGACCGCAAAGTTGGAGGCTTCTGGGGCATGGGGAAGAGAAATAGGGATGTGGGATAGGAAGGGGTGGCAGAGACACTCCCTTTCAGTCCTCGGCTGCCACCCTGGAGGGACTGCATCCCCTACATCCCGGGTGGCTGTTTCTCCCTTAAGGAGGCTGCTGCTCCCAGGGGTTTCAAGGCCTTGGTGCTGCCCTCCTGCATCTGGACACACAACTCCCATGAACCTTCTAAGGGGATGTTTATCCAGTTGGTCCCCTAGAGTCCAGGGTATTATGTCAGTCTGTGCTTCTCAAAGAGTAGCCCAGGCATCACTTCCATCGGTCACCTGGGAGCTTGTGAAAAATGCAGATCTCTGGGGCCCCCTCCAGACCTACTGAATCCAAATCTCTGGGGACGAGTCCCGGAATGAACAAGGTAAACAAGACAGCCCTGCTCCACCCCGATCTTAGGCACGAGGATAAAGTTGGAGAACCGCTGGCCCAGAGGCTCACAGGAATTACAGTTTGGGATGGAGAATACCAATAAAAGGTACTGGAGGCTCAGAGGGACACAAGGGAGGGGAATAACAGCAGGGTGAGGCATACAGATCTCAGAAGTGGGGAGCTCAGGATCAGACAGAAGATTCCAGAGTGTGTGGGTAGGAGATGGGCAAAGGGACTCTGAGATCCTTGAAGGACACTGATCCGGCTAATCTGTAGGGATCATATTATAATATTATATTTCATATAGTAATATACCACATTGATACTATACTATCTATTATACATCTATAATAGATATTATAGGTTAATACTATATATATGGGATAATTCTGCGGCCGTTGTTTGTGGGGAAGGGGCTGTGAGGATACAGGCTGGGATGAAGGATACAGGCTGGGATACAGGCTGTGAGGATACAGCCTGGGATGAAGGATACAGGCTGTGAGGATACAGGCTGGGATGAAGTTCTTGCCTGGCTTTTCGGGGGGTGGCACATCCCGAGGCTCCGTGCAGAGGTGTCCCCCGTAACCAAGCTCACACTCACAGGTGAAGTGGGTTCCCTGCTCCTGGCAGCGACCATCATTCTGACAGGGGTTCTGTAGGCACGGGCTGTCTGCAAGGATGGAAGGGGTTGGGAGGGGGGTTCTGAGAGGGGCTGCTCCACAGCCAGGGAGAGGGGCCTGGGGGCTGGGACGCCAGGGAAGAAAGCAGCAGCTGACAGAGACTCGCCAGGGTCTGCTGGCCGGGTTTCCAGTCCTGGCTCTACACTCCCTGAGCTCTGGGGAAACTGCTTACCCTCTCTGAACTCCATTTTCTTTACCTATAAAGTGGGGATGCTGTGTTTACCCCCAGGTGGTGAGTAAGGACTAAAGGAGATCCTGGGAAGCTAACGCTCGGCAAAGGGCCCAGCACAGTGCCCGGCAGAGAGCAGAGGCTCAGAGAAGGCAGGGCCTGTGCCTTTGCCCCTCCCGAAAAAGACAGAGTGGGATCGCATGGCACGAATTTCCTGACACTGATGAGATGGAGTCCCAGGCACAGGACTGGAAGGGATGCTCCTCGGTCCAGGGACACCTCCACCCTCACCCCCACCCCCAGCCCGCTGTCAAGGGCCGGTCCAGGCTCACCTCGGAAGCAGCCACGAGTGAGGTTCCCCAGGGTGCAGATCTCCCCAGGGCTGCAGCTGAGGGGCTCACACAGCAGGACCCCCGAGCTGGCACAGGTGCAGCGCTGGGAGCAATCCTCGGTCACGAAGCTGTCACCCTGCTGGAGAGGGAGAAGGGGCGGGAGGTGGTGAGGTTCTGGTTCACCTCCAGAGTCTGGCTCTCCTTGTCTGCTCTCCCGAGGCCTCCCACTTCCAGCCCAGACCTGGTAGTAGATGCCATTGTTGGTGCAGCCGCAGTGGGCCAGGGGGAGGCTCTGGGCACCACTGTAGATGTAGCCTGGGAGGCTGGCACAGCCCTCCACACAGGGGCCCTTGCAATCCCTGGGAGCTGCCAGGGCAGCACAGGAGGCTGGGCAGGGTGTCATACAGCTCTGATAGACGGTATTGGCTGGACACGGCAAGGCTGAGGGGACAGAGGGGACAGAGTCATAGTCAGAAGGTGGCTGCGCTGGGGCTGGCCCCCCACGTGTGGGCAACGAGGTCACCCAACAGAGCACAGAGCTTGGTAGAGGCAGGGGAGCCAGAAGAGTGGACCAGCTTTACGTGTCTTTTTGTCTGTGACACCAGCTCATGAGGTGGAGCGAGGATGGGCACCGGCGAGAAGGAGCAGGACGGCGTGACGGGGTGACAGGGTGATGGGGCTGAGGCTTCGGGTGAGGGCACAGAAGGAGTTAGCTCGCGAGGGCATTGACAAGGGGAAAGTTCAGGGCTGGGGGAAGCAAGGCAGGAAGCCAAGGTGCGGGTACCGGTGGGGGCTCAGCGCGGAGCAGAGGGCGGAAATGGCCGGGGGCGGGGGAGGAGGCCAGGAGCCCGCTGCTGGGGAAGGTCAGGGCCTCACCGCAGTGGGTGTGGTTCCGCCAGCTGACCGGGGTGGCGCCCGCCTCCTGGCAGATAATGGCGTACCCGCTGAGGACCTGGCAACGCCGCTCGTCCTGCTCTTTGGGGTCCCGGGCGGCACACAGATCAGACACACAGTGCCTGGGGGGATGGCAGGGACAGTTGGGTGCTGTCAGAGAGGGGGAGGCAAGGAGACCCGGCCCCACAGAAGAGGCCCTGGAAGCCCCACCAGGCAGTGTGCGTGTGTGCGTGTGTGTGTGTGTGTGTGTGTGTGTGTGTGTGAGACAAGGTACCAAGGCCACAGAGAGAACTGTGCCCAACAGAGAGCCGATCAGAGAACAGGCCCCAGGACCTGGAGAAAGGCCATTCCCACGTGTCCTGGGTCCCCGACTCACTCCAGGAAGGGTTCCGGGGCCACAGGCTGGTGGCAGGCAGCGAAGGGGCCCTGGGGGTCCACCAGCACACTACATGCCCGTGTGTGCTCGATGAGCTCCAGCTGCTCCGGGCTGCATTCTGACACATGAAAGCCTGACGCCTCCTCTTCTTTCACTTCCTCCTCTTGTACCTCCCTGGGGCAGAGATAGTGAAGGGCCAGGTGAGGCCCACCATGGCTGTGAACTTAGGAAGAACTGGGGGGGGGGGAGGAGAGGGGAGGGCTCGAGCACAGACCGGGATCCACAGGGCAGGTGCCCCACAGTCAGTGGGAGGGGAAAGAAACGATGGGATTAGGAGAATCAGGCCAGTCTGAGCCCTTGACCTCGGGGTTCCTCCTCTGCTGAGGATATGGGGGTGAGCAGGGTGTAAACAGATACTACGGTGTCGCTCATCGGCCCTCCAGCCCAGGCTGGGCCTCCCTGCTCAGAGCCCCAGCCCTTTCACCTTGAGAAGCGGGGGAGGCCTCCCTTGGTCTTCTTCACCTCCCAACTGTTGCCAAAGACAAGGAGGTTCTGGGTGAGGGCACCGTTGGGCAGCATAAAATCATTCCTCTTATTCTGGTCATAGTTGCCGCACAGGCCGCGCACAAGCCTCCGGTACGTGATGGGCAGGGAGATCACTGCAGGAGGAAGGGGTCCCAGAATCGAAACTCCCCACCTCGTCACTTCCCACCCCTCCTGGGTCCTCCCCTGGAGCTCGGGGGCCCCACTCCCAGGCAGAGGTCCTTTCACTACGTTCGGCCCAAGACGTGGTTTTCCCTACCCCCATCCTTGGAATGTCCCTTCGGCCCTCCGGTCCCCACGCTCAGGTACCTGCATTGTTCTTTCCATTGAAGCTGATGACCAGCTCAAAGTCTGTGATCAGATACAGGCGATGGCCTCGCATGGTGACCCGCAGCTGGTCGTTGGGCTCGTAGGGGATGGTCATCTTCTGACCGTTGACCTGGAGAAGGCAGACAGGAGCCGCACGGAGGCCTGAATCAAGGTGACCCTCTGCCGCTTTGGCCTCTGTCTCTCTGCACATCTTGGTACCTCTCGGTGCCGTCATTCCGGGGAACAAGATACCGCAGGAAGCTTTGCTACCCCGAGTGGCAAAGGCCTCCCTGAGGTCTGCTCCTATTGCAGCCTCAGCCCCTTCCTTGCAAAGAAACTGGCAGGTGGGTGCCCTGGTACTTCTTCAGCACAGCTCCACCCTCACACTGCATGAGTTTCCCTTCTCTCTCTCCCCCTGCCTCTCTCCCACCTTGTGTGTAATCCCACTGCCCTCCTCTGCCCTCCCCCCCCCCCCAAGGAGGTGAGTGTGGCACTGATTCTGATTTCCAAAACTAGGCAGCCTCTGCTGGGACCTTCCCAGGGAACACAGAGTCCTGGCTTCACCTGCTCCAGGTGGCCTCCCATGGCCCGACCTGCCTCCCCAGACCCTCCCGGCCTGGCCTGGCTCTTACTACAAGTCCCAGTTCCGTCTGGAGCTGGACTGTGTAGCCGTAGACCGTCACGATGATTTCGTGCAGGAAGATGGGGTTGAAGGATGGATACACCTTGTTGCGGCCCTCCACGACCAAGGGCTCCACCCCATCAGGGAGCACGTCCAAGGTCTTGATCAGAAAGTAGGTCATGCGGCCCTGGAAGCGGTAGCTGAGGCCATCAAATGTGCGGTAACTGGGGTCCCCATAAATTGTGCATTGCTCCGACTCTGAAAAGAAGGGCCAACGCTGAGAAGGCACCCTGAGTGATGTAACCGCCCCAGAGCCCCTCACCTGCCTGGGACCTCCTGTCACCTTCCCTCTTAGCCCTGGGCTCCCCGTGGACTTGATCTTCCCCTTTCTCCCTCTCCCATCTTGAGAGGATCTCCTTGTCTGGTTCCCTCTTTTTGCACTTAAGATAGCAGATCCCAGAGAGGATCATGCAGGCGACCAGGGAGCTGGTAAGAGCCTGAGAGCCTAGGCCCACTCCTGCCCACGCCGGGTCCCTCCCTCTCCAGAGCCCCCAGCCCAGGCCCCTCTGGCTCCACCTCCCCGAGGGCCCCCTTACTCTCGGGTGCGCAGTAGTCTTTGCCGTCCTTGTTGGGCTGGCACTGGGAGCCCGAGGGGCAGGTGAAGGGCCAGCACTGAATGGCGCCCGCTCTGCAGGCACACCTCTTGGAGCAGCCTCCGGAGAACCAGGACTTACCCGCCTGCAGACGCCGCAGGAAGAACGGGGAGTGAGAAGGGAAGGGCCAGCTCTCTTTCCTCGACGACTTCAGCCTAAGCCTACAGTCTGATGGCTCACTTGGCACGGGCCAGAGGCAGTCCCGGTGCCATCTGCACCCTTATGGACCTGTACCGCCCCCTAGAGGCATTGCGCTCGGTGTGTCTCACACAGGCTGCTCAGGAGGTACTGCTGAACCCATCTTACAGATGAGGAAACTGAGGTCACAGAGGTCCCCTGACTCGTGAGTGGTACCATCAGGATTCATATCAAAGCCACCGTACCGGCTGCATCCCTGTGGTTTGCATTTCTCAGTCCCCAAACCCAAACCACGCACCCTCTAGCCCAGACCTGGCAGGAGGCCACCCTGCCCCATCACCAGCCTTCACACCCAGGGCCAGCGGTAGAGGCGTGGGTGGCCCAGGCTGAGAGAGGCACAGGAAAGGAGAACATGGCATCCCGAAGGTGTGTTGCCCCCACCCCTACTTCCTGCCCCCACTCACAGGGAGGGAGTTGCCCTGGGCGTCCCTGCAGCTGCACTGGCTCCTGGGCACACACTGCCGTCCACTGAGCACGTAGCCGGGCTCACAGACACAGCCCTCCTCGCAGGTGGAGGGCACTCTGGAGCCTTTGCACTGGCCTTCCGTGTCCCAGCAGGAAGGAGGGCAGGAGGGAACGCAGGTGGTGTAGACGCTGTGGGCGGAGCAGTCCAGAGCTGGAGGGGGCGGGGGGAAACATTGACTGAGCGTGGGCTGTGTGCTGGCTCCGAGGACAGAAGAGAGCAAGAATTGGTTCTCCCCGCTCAGCGTGGGAATCCGGTGTCAGCCCGCAGCCGCAGCAGCGCGACCCTGGTGCATCTGGTCAGTAAGCATGTGACTGGCGTGTGTGTGTACGAGGTGTGACAGGAGCACAGGGCAGGGAGGTATCCACTGTGCTGGAGGAGCTAAATAAAGCCCTTTAAGTAGAAGTAGTTGCAAACAAATGGAACTGCTCACAGGTGGGAAGATGTCAGTCTTCCCTAAGTTAATTTAATTATTATTTAGTTTTTTGGCAGCGCCACGCGCCATGTGGGATCTTAGTTCCCCGACCAGGGATCGAACTTGTGCCCCCCATGGAAGCGCAGAATCCTAACCACTGGACTGCCAGGGAAGTCCCTCCCTAATTATACATTTAATACGATACCCCCAAAATACACCAACAGGATTTTGTTTTGTTTTTTAATAGGACAAGATGATATTAATGTGGAAATGAGGATCTAAACAAAGCAGAAAAGCTGGGAAAATTCTAAAACAAACCAAAAAAAACCTGGGGAAAAAAAAAACCAGCAGTAGGTAGTGTACGTCCTTACCAGAAATCTAAACACTATCTAAACTCTCAATGACCACATCATTGTGCTGCTGGTAAATGAAGATAAATGGAGCAGTGGAAGCAGAGAAAAAGGCCCAGAGAGGGATCCAAATACGTGTGGGAATTTAATATAAATCATGGCATCTGAGTCAGTGGAAAAAGAGAGAATGGTCATTTAATAATACTGGGAAAAAATAAACACAAAGTTGATTCAGTTCTCATCCTATACACCAGGATAAATCCCCATGGATCAAACATTTAAATATAAAAAAAAAAGAAACAATACAAATACTAGAGCAAAACACAGGCAAATTCTTTTTTAACTTCAGAGTGGGGAAGCCGTTTGTAACTAAGAAACTGCAGAAGCCATAAAACAAAGATTATTATATTTGACCTCACAAATACATACATACATATATATATATATATATATTTTTTTTTTTTTTCTGCATGGTAAAAAAGAGTGAAAGATGGAAAAAAGAGACCTGGACAAAATTTTTGTAACTCATGGCACTAATGAAGGGCTACTCTCCGTAGTAGACAAAGGACATCCATAAAACATTTCAACAAAGACCAACAAACCAGTGGAAAGAATGGTGAATGGGTATGAAGAAATCACAGAAAGGGAAATCCACATTGCTCCTGAACATAGGAAAGAATGCACAACTTCACTCATAATAGGAAAAATACAAATTAAGACTCCTTTTATCTTTCACATATCAGATAGGCAAAAATCCAAAAGCACGATAATGCTGTGTGTTGGCCAGTCTGTGGGGAAATGGGCACTCTCGTATGTTGCTGGTGGGAATGTAAATTCCTCAACCCCTATGGAAGGCCATTTGGCAACATCTCTCAAAAGCACAAATCCACACAATCTTTGATCCAACAATTCCAGGTCTACAAATTTATCCCACAGATAAGAGACACACACGTAGAGAATTGTATCTGCATGAGGTTATCCTTGCAGCACTGTTTGCAAGAGCAAAAGACTGGAAACAACTAGAAAGTCCATCGCTAGAAGACTAGTTAAATAAATTATGATAAATGAATTATGACGCAGCTGCAAAAGAGAATGAGGATACTCTTTACATATCTGACAGGGAAGGACCGCCAAGCTAGTTTGTCAAGTGAAAAAAAATGAAGTGCAAACTACTGTGTCCTGTCTGCTGTTTGTAAGAAAATACAGAAAATAAATTTGCATTTGTCTGTATGTGCAGAAATAAAAGACTTTTGGAAAAGTACTCAGACGCTGAAAAGAGCAGGCTGGGGCCAGGGCCCCTTGGGTCAGGGCGAGAGGGAGACTTTTCACTGGGGATCTTTTAATACTTTCAAAGTTTTTGAACCATAGGAATGCATGACATAGGAAAAACACCGTAATCACTGTTTTAAAATCTAAAATGTTCTTGGGGACTTCCCTGGTGGTCCAGTGGGTAAGACTCTGCACTCCCAACGCAGGGGGCCTGGGGTTCGATCCCTGGTCAGGGAACTAGAACCCACACGCACGCCGCAACTAAGACCCGGCGCAGCCTAAATAAATAAATAAAAATAAAAGGTTCTGGAATTAGATAGTGGTGCTGGTTGTACAACTTTGTGAAGATCCTGAAAATCAGTAAATTTTATACTTTTAAAGGGTAGAAGAATATGGTATGTGAATAATAATTTTTTAAAAATTTTTTTGAAGGAAAGAGCTAGAGGAGGATGCCTCAGAGTCTGCCAGGAGGGGAGAAGAAAGAACCTTTCGGGTGCAGGGCGTGGTATGTATAAAGGCAGGGAGGGGTGTGGGAAAGCGACGCCTGTGTGGAGAATGGGATGGTTTGATACAGGTGATTCTGGCGCACAGGAAAGGGTGGGTGGGGGAGGGGCACAGCTTGCAGGATCTCTCAGACATCTCAGAGAGGAGCTTGGACTTGCAGGCAACAGCCGTGCAGGGGCCTAACATGATCACGTTTCTTTTGGAAAGGAGCTGCTGACAAGCAGCCGTGCAGTCCTGGTGGTATGGGGCACTAGCTAAGAGCTTGCCGTAAATGGTCCACATCAGAGAAAATGAGGTCAGAAATAGGTCGGGGACAACTGAAATGGAGAATGGGGGAGCTTTCAGAGATACACAGATGGGAAGAGGGTTTGGGAGCAGTTTGAGGGCGGCCCGAGGGCACACTCACGGCAGAAGCTGCTGTTTCTCCAGATCGGAGGCTTGATCCCCTGGGCCTGGCAGGCGGCCCCGAAGGCTTGTAGAGACTGGCAGAGGGCATGGTTGAGGCCTCCAAACTCACAGAGGCTGTGGGTACATCTGAGCAGGAAGGGACTGAGAATCACGCGGGTGGCACAGTTCGCCCAGGCTGGAGCCTGGAAAGCCGCCTGGCATTGCTCCTGGGCTCTTGCCAGGTCAGCTGCCTGGCAGTTCGTGTTTGGCTTCTCCTGAGGTTCTGCTTCAGTCTTCTTGTCATCTTCTTGGCAACTGGGAAGGGAAAGGGCATCATCATAGGGACAGCCACTGCCTCATCTATGATAATGACTTGGCGCTCCTAAACCACACCCTGAATACGCCTCCTGTCTTCACCGGGAAGCTGGCCTGAGCTCTGGCCAGCCTTCCACGTGGCCTCGGTCTCCTCCCACGTTTCGAAGCCAAGACAGGAAGACTTTCTCATTTCCCCATATAGGTTCCTGGGACCCAGACGCCATTGCCTGTCAAGTTACACGCACAAAGGACCACTCTGGTCTTCCCATCCCAGGTGGGCCATACAGTCTAGAATCCCAACTCGTGTTCCTATGCAAAGGCAGAGGTTCTTCGGGGACAATTACTTTGGGTCGATCTCCTTGTCTTGCCAACTGTCCACATACATGACGTCATCCAGGGCTAGTTCGTCATTAGGCATCAATAGTTCGTCTTCTTCCTCGCCGTTGAAGTTCCCGCACATGCCGCAGGTCTGTGTGGGCAGAGGGGATCCAGGGATCTTCAGTGCCAGGGATGGCAGAGGGCATTTTTTGTCGGCATCCCCTTTAAGAGAAAGGCGCCCCCCTCCCTGCAGGCTGACTCCCCTACGAAGAGACCCAGGTGTTTTCCTCACCTTCTCATAATAGGCTTTGGGGATTTCGACCTCTAGGAAACCATTGCCGTCAAACTTGACTTGCACCCCAATGTTGATGGTGAGCACGGTGTAGCCGTCCCTGGAAATGACTTTGACTCCCCGGATCTGGGTGGTCGCCGGGAGGGTGACCCGTGTGCCATTGATCTACAGAGGAGGGCAGGACCCGTGAGCAGGAAGAAGGACCAGAGCCCCGTCCCCAGAGCCCATGTCCTCCCCGCCGGCCTCGCTCACCAGCACTTGGTCCTTCTTCAGGGTGACCAGGGTATTAAAGATGTCCACGTGGACCTGGCGGAGGTAGAAAGTGTGGGGCTGGTCTTTCCGCTTCCCATTCTTGCCACTGATCTTGAAGAAAGGCAGGTCCATGGTGGAGTGGCATATTTTCACCAAGACGTAAGTGCAGGTGCCCCTGACCGCATGGTAACTGCCATCGAAGCTTACGTAGTGGGACGCGTCACGGATGCGGCACTCTCCCATCCCTGGAGGACAGACAGGTGGCTGAGGAGTGGTCCAGCCTCTAGCGAGAACAGGCCTTCTCCCCTGCCTCAAGGAAAGGATGGGAGGAGAGGGAGCCTCAGAAGGGAAGGGGACAAAGAAGAGAGTCAAGACACGAGGAGGTGGGGCAGGTGTCATTCGGCCAGGGAGAGACTTATACTATCCCGTCTAAGTCCACGGCTGCCATGGGGAACCATGAGTGAACCCCAAGGAGCCCTTCTTGATAGAGGGGGAGTTGGGGAGAGTTCGTCTTGGTGGCTGAAGGTCCTCCTCCACACTCAGTGGAGGCCTACCTGCCACCCGGCACCGTATCAGCCCATCCCGGGACCCGCACATCTGGCCAGGCTTGCAGGCGGTCTGGAGGCAGGAGATGTTGTTGTGAGCGGAGCAGGTGCAGAGCCTGGAGCAGGTGTTGTCCGTGTACCAGCTCTCCCCGACCTGTGGGGCGCAGGCATCAGTGGAGCCGATAGAAACTTGGAAGCCAGAGGTGGTCGGAGCTGCCCGCACCCCAGGGCCCCCATGAGGCTCGCTGCCCTTGGCTGCCCGCCTCCATCACTAGCCTTCCTCAGGCTCTTGGCTTCTGGATTTGCCCCTCAGCCCCCAGCACTGGCCCACCCTGCGCCTTTTCAGGCTCTGAGCCCTCTGGCCCCCAAACTCGGGGAGCTGGGAAGGGCAGGGCACCCCCTGTGGTCTGGCCTCTCACCGGGTGGTAGGAGCCCCTCTGGCTGGTACAGCCACACTGGCTGAGGGGCACACAGGAGGTCCCACTCAGGATGTGGCCTTTCTGGCACTCGCAGCCCTCGGCACAGGGCAGCGAGGACGGGCAGTATGATGGAGCGCTCAGGCTGAGGCAGGTGGCCGGGCAGGGGTTGGCACAGGTGCTGTAGCTGCTGCCCAATGGGCAGTTCAGAGCTAAGAAGAAATTGGTGTTTAGGAAGGAAGAGTGATTTTCAGCTCTCTGACCTTGGGGCATCAAGAGTTCCTGGGAGGGACTTCCCTGGCGGTCCAGTGGTTAAGACTTGGCCTTCCACTGCAGGAGGTACGGGTTTCATCCCTGGTTGGGGAGCTAAGATCCCACATGCCTCGAGTCCAAAAAAATCAAAAACATAAAACAGAAACAATACTGTAACAACTTCAATAAAGACTTTAAAAATGGTCCATATCAAAAAAATCTTAAAAAAAAAAAAGAGTTCCTGGGAACGTCCATCAGACGAATGGATAAACAACATGGGGTCCAATCATACAACGGAATATGATTCAGCCTTAAAAAGAAGGAAATTCTGGCACTTGCTACGACATGGTGAACCCTGGGAATATAAAGCTAAGTGAAATAAGCGAGTCACAAAAAGATGAATACCGTGTGATTCCGCTTAGATGAGGTCCCTAGAGTCTTCGGATTCACAAAGACAGAGAGTAGATGGTGGTTGCCAGGGGCTGGGGGAGGGGATTGGGACTCACAGTGTTTAATGCGGACAGAGTTTCAGTTTGGGAAGATGAAAAAGTTCTGGGGGCGATGGTGGTGATGGTTGCACAATGAGGTGAATGCGCTCAATGCCACTGGACACTTAAAAATTGTCACAATGGTAATTTTTATGTTCTGTATGTTTTACTACAATTTAAAAAAAAAAAAGCGTTTCTGGGAAAGAAGAAAGGCCACAGAGCTGGCCCAGGGAAGAAGGGAAGGAGGCAGTAACCAAATGAGATCAGGACTTTTTTATGGGCCACGCCCCATGGCATGCGGGATCTGAACCAGGGATCGAAACGGTGCCCCCTGCAGCGGACGAGCGGAGTCCTAACCACTGGACCACCAGGGAATTCCTGGGAGATCAGAACTTTTTGGTGAAGTGAGAATCGGATGGAGGATCCCAGAAGAGGGAGACAAGTAGAGGATGGGGGCTGGGCTCCGAGAGACTGGGGAGACGGGAACAGAGGAGGGTCCCACGTGGGGCCTGGGGGTCGGGCTGCGAAGGGAAGAGTGAAGGAGCAGAATTTAGGGAGAGGAAGAGAGGGCAGGGCTCTCGGGACTCCTCCTGGCTGTCAGGTCACTCACGGCAGAAGGTGGTGTTCCGCCAGGCGAGGGCCTGGCCTGCGCGGGCGCACAGGGACGCGTAGGCCTGCAGGGAGCGGCACAGGGTCGAGGTGTCGCCCTTGGTCCCACACTGGCCGTACACGCAACTGGTGAAGCTGGAGTGCGGGGCCACCACCCCGTGGCACTGGGAGAAGGGTCCTGGATGAAACGTAGGTGAGACTAAGCTTGGGGAGGGAGCAGAACCACGCGGCTGTTCTGGGGCAAATTCAACATCCATTTCCATCAGAACCCGTAATTATTGAGAACCTACTGCCTGAGATGCAAAAAACGCCACAGATCCGTCAGCGTTCCCAGGTGACCACTGCCTCTGCATTCCATCTGCCTGCCTCTTGAGGGCCACTACTTCCTGTCTCACCCTTCCTCCCTCCCTGCTCAGTGCCCCTCCTCTGTCTCCTGCCCCCGGGGAGCAAAAAGGGGCCCCCTGCGTGGCTTACCCTGAGGGTTCATTAAGATATCACAGTTCTTATTCCAGGCCTCCGTCACTTTCTTCCCCAGGCACCTGGGGGGCCCGCCACCCGCAGCAAAGCAGCTGACAGAGGAGGAGGGGAAAGGACAGGAGCTTAGGATTGGAGGAAGCTTTCCAAAAGCCAGAGCAAAAGTGGAGAGGGAAACAGGGCGGGGAGTAAGGACGGGAGAAGAGGACAGTGATGGCCTCAAGTAGTAAGGTCAGCAAATGCAGCAGGAAAGCACAAGGTTAGATCTCAGGGTGGACTTCCCAAGAGACAGATCAGTCATCAGCTCCAGGAAAGACTGGGGATGCACAGGGAACACCTCCAGGCTGCCCACCAAGCCTCTTCCCCTGGTCCAGCTCCCCCCACCCCGCCCCCGTTCCGGCTCACCCAGGTTCAGATAACTCATTTAGCTTCCAGGAGGCCCCCAGGTGCACGGAGCTGACTGCAGGCCTTTTATCAGGCTGCAGATTGTCGTCTAGGCTGTTGTTGTTGAAGTTCCCTGCAGGACGGAACAGTCAGCAGAGGCCTTGAACTCAGCCCCGGGACCAAGAAGCATCCCTCCCTCTTCACGCAACCAACCAAGATGAGCCCTTTCTCTTCCTTCATCTTCGGCTTCCCTTCATGCCTACCCTAGCGCACGACACCTTCAACCAAGTAAGAGGTCGACAAGCACCAAGGACGCCTAATCACATGTGTGGATGAGCAGGACCGGGACAGGCTCCAGCCCATGACCCCGGCCTCACCTGCTGGTGCCCTAGGAACTCACCGCACATCCCGCAGAGCCGGCCAGCGTAGGAGGAGGGCACGGTCACTTCCACCAGGTGGTTCCCATCATAGCGAACTTGAAGCCCGAAGTCCGTGTAGAGGAGGATAAAGGAGCCACTGGACCTCACGTTCACCCGGCCTTGTGCAGGCCACACGGGCAGGGCCACCCGGCGACCGTCCAGCTACAGAGGCAGGAAGGACACTGTAGGGAAAGGTGCCTGGGACAAGAACAACAACGAGGCCAAGACCAGGGAGCAGGAGGGGGTGGCGGGGGTGTCTCAGAAACTGGGGCTGCGTCTGCCAGACAGGGCCTGCAGGCAAGGAGATGCGGAGAAGAGATGCAGCGTGGGCTGGGGTTGGGGCCGGGGAGGCCGGCGCAGGCACGCACCATGACCTTGCGGCCTTTGATCATGGAGATTCTGAGGTTGAAGACCTGCACTTGGACGGTTTTGACATAGGAGGCCTCCAAGTTTCCGCCGCGGAACTCGTTGGTGGCGCTCACGACGAAGTAATTTTCTGGGGACCTCAACCAACAAGGCTGGGTCAGGGTGTAGGTGCAGGTGCCCATGAAGTGGTGCAGGGCTCCGTCGAATGTCAGGTAATGGGGGTCCCCCGAGACAGTGCAGGTAGCGGACCCTGGGCAGGAGGAGATGGCGTTCAGAGAGGCACTGACCCTGAGCTGCCATCTTGGCGAGTCCACATTGGAATGGTAACCATGGCTCATCGGGGTGGTTGGTGTGACTTGGAGAGGTCAAGGTCAGGGACTGCCCCAGCCTCACTCTCTGGGTCCTTGAAGACGCGGCTTTGGCTCTGGGCAATTGCCTTCCAGCCCCCTGGTTATGCTCCAGCTCTCTGCGTTAGGACAGGACCGTGCCTTTGCTCGAGGCCACATGGGCAGCCCCCATGAGCACCTTCTTCCGACTGCTCACCTTGAGCGTGGCAGCCATAGATGCCATCCTGCCGACCACACACCTCCTGGGCCTGGCACCTCCACTGCACACAGCGAGTTCTGTTGCTGCCCTCACAGATGCAGAGCTGTCTGCAGCCTGGCTTGAACCACCGCTCCCCTACCTGGCGGACGGACCGAAGGAAGGGAAATAAGTTATCCCCTGATCTATTAGCACCGCTATTCAGATCACCGACCTGCTCACCAGGAAGGCATTCGTGTCATCCCAAAGCTCCAGGCTTGGTTGCAAAACTCTGGCATTCGCTCACTCGTTCAGTCACTCCACTGTTTGTTTGTTCACTAGTTCAACAGACAGTTACCATCTGCTCTGTGCCAGGCGTCAGGGATTCAGTAACGAGCTGGATGGATGAGGCCCCTGCCCTAACAGAACCCACAGTCCAGAGAGGGCAGTAACGAGCTGGATGGATGAGGCCCCTGCCCTAACAGAACCCACAGTCCAGAGAGGGCAGTAACGAGCTGGATGGATGAGGCCCCTGCCCTAACAGAACCCACAGTCCAGAGAGGGCAGTCAACATGTAAACAGATAGATCACGTGGTCCAACACACTCTGCACCCAAAGACGATAATCAGGGCACCCAGGGAGAGTTTCGTGCCATTGACACAGACAATCGGCGCTCGCCACAAGAGCTTAGAGATGCTTCTCAGGAGGGCTTCAAGGAAGAAGCAGCATTTCAACAGGGCCTCAAAGGAGGTGAGAGTGGCTAACAGGCATAGTGCCTGGGAGGCAGAGCAGCAGGGAAGGGCTGAAAAGAAGGTGAAACTGAGAGAGCAAAGCGCAGACGAGGAGAGTTCCGTGGGCCAGCCTGGAATGCGGCACCGAGCAGGGAGAGCCCAGGGGACACCAGGTGGGAGGGGGCTGGGATGGACATCAGTGTCACCCCAGGCCTCGGGTGAGGGACAGGGAAAGGAAGAGAGAGAGAAGTTTCAAGGATGAGAGTCTAGCTCCAAGTGCTGCCTCTGAGAAGATGGTGAAGACGGGACCCAGGCAGCAGATGAAATCCTTCAGCAGAGAAAGGGACCCTCAGTAGGAGAGAAAGAGTACAGGTGACATGCAGACATGCCTGGGCCTTCAGAGGATGAGAAACCGGGAAAGTGACTCAGGGATGTGACGGGCAGGGAAGGTAGGAGGGGAGAGAACTAGGGGTCCCAGGCTGTGCTGGGCAGCGTGGGAAATGACTGTGCTATGGCTCCATCCCCGTCTGCAGGGGTGAAAAGTACTAGAGCTGAAGAAAGAAAAAGGGAAATTAGACATAAGCCCGAAGTTCCTTAATCCCAGCCCGCGCCCCCCCGCCGCCCCCCGCCCCCCGCCTTTTCTCTCGTGCCCACAAGCTGGCCGTAGACTTCAGAGCTGGGATGAGTGCCTTCTGGCTGCAGGGCTGAGAGAGGCCCAGCCCCAGCGGCTCACCTTGAAGTAGCCGGCCGTGGGGTCAAGGCAGCCACATTCGGACCTGGGGACGCACTGGAGACCGCTGAGGACGAAGCCCGGGTCGCACTCGCAGCCCTCCACGCAGCGGTTCTGGCAGGTCATGCCCGAGAACTCGGAATGGCAGGTGTCGGGGCACAGCTTGGCACACAGGGTGTATCGGCTGTTGGGTGGACAGGCCAGCGCTGGCAGAGGGGGGGAGCACAGGTGAGGCGGGATGGGGAAAAGAGGAAAGAGGTAGCTCCCAGCCCAGAGTTCAAAAGGCCGGTGGCTAGAGGCTTCCGCCCCATCTTGAGAAGAAGACAGTGACTGGGAGAAACCACCGAGGAGCTCAGCTTCCACGTCCCGGGCCTGGAAGGGGGCCTGCAGGGAACTGCCAAGAGGCAGGACCACGGGAGCAGACTGACCCAGAAGCTTCAGCGGCACTGCTGTGTAGGGTGGAGGGGAGCAGAGGGAACCCATGTGGCCCCATCAAGGCCCCAAAGCAGGCTCCCCAGAGGGCTGGGCCATGCCCAGGAGCTGTGGGGCCGTCATGACGCGCCATCCCACCCACCAGTCTGTACTGTATCCACATTTTGTGTATTCTACATGTGCATCCCTCGACCTGGGTGTGCATTTACACACATATGCATTGCTCTGCATACCCGTACCTTCAGGTAGCTGGGAAAGCTTTCTTTCTTTTTTTTTTTTTTTCCCCCAAAGAGCTTTAATTAAGACTTTAATAGAGCAAAAAGAGGTCAAAGTGCAGTCAGGGCCCAAATCAGAGGTAACAAAACCAAGTTGGATCCAGGTTGAAAGTGTTGCCTGGAAAATCCACAGCTGGGAGCAAACCCTGGGAAGCCTTTCTGAGTTTGCAGGTGACCGTGTGATCTTCTCAGTGCATGTTTCTGACTGCAGATTTCCCTGTCCTAGTGTGGAGGCACAGGGGTTCCACCAGGGCGCCGCCCAGCCTGTGCTACCACTCTCAGATGCCGCCGGCCCTCCACTGCGTTTGCGTCTGAAAGAAGGGGCCCTTCATCTTGGTACAACTCACGGCAGAACTGGGGTCCCCTCCAGGGCTTCACCACGTAGCCGGCATCCTGGCAGGTCTCGGTCAAGGCCGACATGTGGGCACACAGCGTCTGCTGCAGCCCCTGGAAATTACACATGTCAAACACGCAGTTGTCGAAGAAGGAAGAGGCCCTGAGGTGAGGCAGGCAGGCCCTGAGGAGAGAGGCCAGGTCAGAAGGAATGAGGGGGCAGAACTTCCCGCCTCCTGCCACGGAGGACCTGGTCCCCCCGCCATGGCCCTTCCTGTCCCCCCACCCCGGGCCCCCGCACATACTCAAAAGCTCCGTGAGCGACCGTGAGCCGTCCACAGAACTCTGGCCCTGACACAGTGTTCTGCAAGGCAGTGTCGCAAGATGGGGGAGATGCCTGGTTCTCCTGGCACCTGGAAGAGACCCACCCCAAACGCCCTAAGGACCGAGGCTCACCTCCACGCCCAGCCCGCCCCAGCAGTCTCCCGGCTCTCGGCATCCCCTAGTGGAGAACATCTGAACACCAAGAGGTGGGAAAACTTGGAGCCGGGCAAGCAAGAGGCGGGGCTGCCCACAATCGCCTGGGGACAACTGACTGATGGTGGGGCTGGGGGTGAACGTGGTGGCAATGAACTCTGCTGGGAATGGGAGTGGGGAGAAGAATGACAGACGTGGGGGTGTGCAGCAGAGGAGAAAAGGGGTGATGCCAGTCGGGGTTCTTGGTTCCTCAAAGGGGCAAAGGAGCAGGAGGGTGGAGACGGAGGCGGGGAGGCCCTCACTCGTGGTCTTCATCCTCCGAGGCCTGCCAGCTGCTACCCAGCTCCATCTCATCTCGCGCTGGTCTACCATCCGGCTTCCGGTTGTCGTTGCTACTGTCTCCATCATAGTTGCCACAGAAACCGCAGAGTTTGCCAGAGTAGGTGCTGCGGGGGGGCCGGGGGGAGGGGAGGAGGAGGCATTAGTGGAGAGAAGGGGCCTCCGGCATCTGAGGGACCACAGCAGAGAGGGGATGAGTCGCGGGGGCCACTGGCACGAGGCGGGTGGAGGATGCAGAGGTGCAGACTCGGAACAAGGGTTCCACGCCAGGCACCAGGCACGCAAGGGCCCCAAGCTCTCACTCTCGAGCCACCTTGACGTCTCCCCTCGTCCTCTTCTGCTCACACTTCATCTTCCAGCCATAACAAACTTCTTGCTGGCCCTAAGACATTCTACTTTTTCCCTCGCAATGACTGTTCACTATTTCTATAGTCTTTCTTTCCCTTGTTTGGCCATCTGAGGAGCTACTCATCCTTGAAGACAGCAGTCAAGGGACCACTCTTCTGAAGGCTCCCACGACTCATTAGCAACTCCTTCTAGAACATTCCCAAAGCCTTGTGTATATATCCTGCTACTATCACACTGCCCTGAAACCATTTCCTCCCCCTCCTCAACCAAAGGGAGGCCTGCCCGTTGAGCTAGGTGTCTCCTACCCACGACTGAGAATTAGCACCTGGGATGGCAGGGGCCGGGGATGGGAGGGTCCCGGGAGAGGGAGGGGCAGGGTGGGAGGAGTGGTAGCTGCCTCGCTGGGTCACCCCCTCACCTGGGCACGCTCACAGACAGCTGCTGGTCACCATCCCATCTCACCCGCAGACCGAATGCCGTCTGCAGCTGCACAGATCGCCCACTTGGAGTCAGGAAGACGCCTTTAGAAGGTATGGCTGGGAGGGTGACTCGCTGACCCCCAACCTGGAAGGCGGGGCCGAGGGAGGAGACAGAGAGACAGATCCGGGGGTCAAGGAGGACCCCCAGCGGACTCCCAGATCCCCACCGCCACGCTAATGACCTCTTCTGCTCCACGTGGAATGCTCTGGAGGAGATGGGCGGGACAAGGCCACAGCCAAGGCCGGCAGCCCTGCAGGGCTGAGAACGGACTCACCAGCGTGTGTCTGCCCTTGAGCAGGGTGATGGTGGTTTCGGGCAGAGTCACGTAGACCTTGCTCAGGCAGGACACGCCCTCCTGTCCTCGCTCCTCATTCTTCACCGTCAGCCTGAAGAATGGCTCTGGGCAGGGAGAGGGGCGGAGTGCGCCCAGGGGCTCATTCCAGAAGCATTTCTGAGCACCCACTGAGGGTGCCACCCCCAACCAGCCCGGCGCCCTGCGAGGATAAAGGGCCACAAAGGTGGCGGCTCTACAGTTCAAGAGGGGAGGAAGGACCCTGGCAGGAGTGGGGCGTCGTCCAGAACAGCGCGGGGCTGTGTGCCGCGAATCTGTCCCCCCAGGGGACAGGGACCTCCTCTGCCAGGCACTCCCTAGTCCAAGCCAGCCAAGGAAGCGACGGATCCAGAGAGGAGTCCTAACCCGCATTTTCCCCATGGTCTGGTCCTCATAAAGTCCTGCTTGGGGATGGATGTGTCATCCCTTGCTCGACCGCCGGCCTTGCTCCCATCTTGCCCCTGCCAGCGGCTCTGGCCCTTTCCTGCCGGCCAGTGCACCCCATGCCCAGCTCTTCTGATCTCAGACCCCACGCCCAGGCCGTGGGGGGGCATCTCCAGGGGCCTACCTGTCGAGTTGTCACAGGGTTGGGCCAGGATGTAGGTGCACTTGCCCATGAAGCTAAAGTGCCTCCCGTCGAAGGTGAAGTAATGAGGGTCTCCGTAGATGAAGCAGGTGGCAGTGCCTGCCGAGGGGACACCGGGGACATGTGAAGCTGGTTCACCAGGCCAGGCCCCAGGGCCCACCTCACCCACCCAGTGGCCTGCCCGGGCTCCCCTGGTCGAGGGAAGGATGGGGACCCTGGTGTCACACCCACATGGACAGGTGGGAACAGCCTGAGGGTCTCACCATAGGGGTGGCATCCATACTGGCCATTCTTCAGCTGGCACACTGTATGTGTCCCGCACTTATAGGGCTGGCACTCCGTCCGACCGCCAGGCTGGCAGCGGCAACGTTCTGTGCAGTTGGGGCTGAACCACCCCGTCCCCGGCTGAGGGAAAGAGGGCCGGAGTCATGAGGCCGTAGCTCCTGGGCAGACTCTGTCATCCCATGCTGTAGTCTTCTCTCCTCCTGCAGACCTCACCTTGCTCAGACTCCTCTCCTCATCACCTACCAGATATTCCTGCTCAACCCAGGCCCTTTGCACATGCTGTGCTGGAACGTGTCCCTCTCCCTCTCTCTAACCCATTCCTGTGCAACTAGCGGAGTTCAGCTCAAGGGTTGCTACCTTCTCAGGAAGACTCTCCAGACCTCCTTGACTACCTCTGGGTACCTTTCCTTCCCAGGACTTACCACAATTGCACTTTTATATTCATCTTTGTGATTATTTGATAAGCGCCCCTGCGAGGGACCATGTCTATCTTTACTCACTATCTCAGCGCCAACACGTAGCACAGTGCCTGGAAAAGAGTTCTCATTTAATAAATACTTACTGAATGAAAGAACGCACCAACATCCTATGTGCCCCCCGGAATCTGACAGCATTAGGAGAGCAAGGACATGCCCTATTCGTGGTGACCCCAATGCCGAGAGGGTTGAAGGTACCCGATACGCGCTTATTGAATGCATAAGTGAACATACAGTAAGTTCGTATGTGTCTCCCGGGGCAGAGGGAAGAGATGCTTGGTACTGATGGTTGTGACAGATACTTCTACCCGGGCTGCAGCTGAAGCGACTCCCAACACTGACGCAGGGACGCCCGGGAGACCGGTCAAGAGGGCTGGAGGAGGAAGGGGCCCCCGAAGAGGCAAGCAAGAAACTCGGACGCCCCGTGGGGAGAACGCCGGAGCTGAGAAGAGGAACTGATGCTAATGAATAGCTGACCGAACTTTTACTTTACAGGTCACATATATTAACCATAAATTGCTAACAATAGTGATTAGCATTTATTAAGTACTTGCTCTGTGTCAGGATCTAATCTCACCTTCACAACAACCTAATGAGGTAGAAAATCTTGTTGTGCCCATTTTATAGGTATGGGAACAGATTTGAAGAAGGCAAGAAAGAACCTCGCCCAGGGTCACTCTGCAAACGAGTGGCGGAGCGGGGATTTGACCTCAGATTGGCCTGACTCTTGGGCGGCTCTGTCCAATACAATGGCCACCAGCCACATGCCACTGAGCTCCTGAGATGTGGCCGGTGCAAACTGACGTAGGCTGTAAGTGGAAAATACACACTGGAGTTTGAAGACTTAGTAGGAAAAAAAAGAACGTACGTAAATGATCTCATTGATAACCATTGATTACATGCTAAAACGGGTAGATGACTGGAGTTAACTTAACCTGTTTCCTTGTACTTTTTCTTTTTTTTGTTTTTTGGCCTCACTTGCGGCTTGCAGGATCTTAGTTCCCCAAGCAGGGATTGAACCCGGGCCCTCAGCAGTGAGGGTGTGGAGTCCTAACCACTGGGCCACCAGGGAATTCCCTCCTTGTAGTTTTTTTTTTTTTTTTTTAATGTGGCTATTAGGACAAGTAAATGCTGTGTGAGGTTTGCACGCCATCCCTTTTGGACAGCGCTGGCCCAGAGCCTGTGCTCCACCAGAATCTCCCGGGGGGATGGGGATGGGCATCAATTAGGAGAGACAAGAACAGTATCTCCTCTCCTTTGACCTAGCCTATCAAAATTTGCAGGTTCCGTTGGAAGAAGGTTCTGGAATGCCTCATTCTGCCCTGAAAATGCCTGAACACACTTGGTGTCCAGGGCTCTCTGTATACTCAGGGACCCCTGACTTTCCTCAGGATGGAGATAAGGGCCCTGCACCACCTGGCTGGTCTATGGTCTAATGCATCATGGCTGCCAGTGCAGGACGGAGAAATACAGAAATATCAAAGCTGCCAGGAGCACCGAGGACAGGGCCACGGGCTGACAGGATCTTCCACACAGCCTAGTGTCAGGCTGGGCCAAAGCAGGTGCTTAACAAGTATTTATTGTGTGAACAGAGCCGAGGGACTTCCCTGGTGGTCCAGTGGTTAGGACTCCACGCTTCCACTGCAAGGGGCACAGGTTCAATCCCTGGTCAGGGAACTAAGATCCCACATGCCGTGTGGCGTGGCCAAGAAAAAAAAATAATAAAATTAAGGCAAAAAAAACACACACCGAATGAATGACTCCACCACCGTGTCACAGCTGCCGGAGAGCGACCCCTTGGGAATGTCCCATGGAGCCAAATTCACGTCACCTGGGGAGCAGGTTGCGCTGGACCCCAGGCGTTCGGCTCGCAGTCTCCCTCAGAGGATCCGGGCATCCTGGGGTCTCACCTTATAGTAATTGTCATTGTAGGAGCAATTGCAGGAAGAGGCATTGATGCAGCGGGAGTCGCTGAACAGAAAGCCAGGATCGCAGACACAGCCGGGCTTGCAAAGGAGCCCACAGCTGGGCGCGGGGCTCTGGCAGGATGCTGGGCAGGCGCAGCGCTTGTAGTGGGCGTTCGGTGGGCAGCTCACTGAGGGAAAAACAGCCTCCGTCAAGCCCCCGGCTTTCCTCCTGTCTCCCCTCTACCCCCCACTCCCGTTCTTCTTGAAGAAGGAGGCCCATGTTACTCCGCCATTCAAAGGAAGGAAGTCCTGACACAAACTACAATCTGGATGAACCTTGACAACAACATATGCTGAGAAAAAAGAAGCCAGTTCCACGGTATGAAGTGTACCGAGCAGACAGAAAGCAGATTCGTGGTTGCCAGGGGCTGGGGGGCGGGGGGAATGGGCATGACGGCTATTGGGTACAGGCTTTCTTTATGGGGTGATGTAAATGTCCTGACGTGGAAACGTGAGGATGGCTACACAGTCCTGTGAATATGCTAAAACCACCAAATCGTACACTTTGAAAGGGTGAATTTTTACGGCAGTGAATTATATCTCAATAAAAAAAAAAAAGCAATAGTAAGTCCAGTGCTTGGTTCCCAACAACTCCCGCTCCCCCATGCCCGCCCCACCGTGGCCCTCTCACTCAGGGTCGTCCTCATCCCCCTTTCTAAAGTCATCGTGTCTGGTTCCCCTCTCCTCTGAGACTGCAGCTTTCTACTGGAAGCGTCCGTTTCCCCAGCCCCCTCTCCTCATCACTGTCTCTGACTTTCAGCTCTTTGTCCGATGCTCCACCACAAACCTGGAGTAGGTCTTGCGGTTGCAGTGGCGGCCGGGGTCACGGTGGTCATGGAGGTACTTGGCATCACGAAAACTGTTGGCCAGGTGGGTACAAGAGTTGGGCTGGGCTGGGGTGTCATGGGAACTGTGGGCCTTTCAATGGGGACTGTGGGTTTTTCCAGACAGAAAGCAGATTCGTGGTTGCCAGGGGCTGGGGGGCGGGGGGAATGGGCATGACGGCTATTGGGTACAGGCTTTCTTTATGGGGTGATGTAAATGTCCTGACGTGGAAACGTGAGGATGGCTACACAGTCCTGTGAATATGCTAAAACCACCAAATCGTACACTTTGAAAGGGTGAATTTTTACGGCAGTGAATTATATCTCAATAAAAAAAAAAAAGCAATAGTAAGTCCAGTGCTTGGTTCCCAACAACTCCCGCTCCCCCATGCCCGCCCCACCGTGGCCCTCTCACTCAGGGTCGTCCTCATCCCCCTTTCTAAAGTCATCGTGTCTGGTTCCCCTCTCCTCTGAGACTGCAGCTTTCTACTGGAAGCGTCCGTTTCCCCAGCCCCCTCTCCTCATCACTGTCTCTGACTTTCAGCTCTTTGTCCGATGCTCCACCACAAACCTGGAGTAGGTCTTGCGGTTGCAGTGGCGGCCGGGGTCACGGTGGTCATGGAGGTACTTGGCATCACGAAAACTGTTGGCCAGGTGGGTACAAGAGTTGGGCTGGGCTGGGGTGTCATGGGAACTGTGGGCCTTTCAGTGGGGACTGTGGGTTTTTCCGTGGGGATGGTGGTCCTTTCGGTGGGGACCGTGGGTTTTTCTGTGGGGATGGTGGTCTTTTTAGTGGGGATGGTGGTCCTTTCGGTGGGGACCGTGGGTTTTTCTGTGGGGATGGTGGTCTTTTTAGTGGGGATGGTGGTCCTTTCGGTGGGGACCGTGGGTTTTTCTGTGAGGATGGTGGTCTTTTTAGTGGGGATGGTGGTCCTTTCGGTGAGGACAGTCGGCTTTTCTGTGGGGATGGTGGTCTTTTTAGTGGGGATGGTGGTCCTTTCGGTGGGGACAGTCGGCTTTTCTGTGGGGATGGTGGTCTTTTTAGTGGGGATGGTGGTCCTTTCGGTGGGGACAGTCGGTTTTTCTATGGGGGCCACAGGTTTCTCTGTGAGGATGGTGGATATTTCAGTGGGGACGGTGGGTGTTTCCTCAGGGGCCACAAGTTTCTCTGTGCAGACAGGGGTTTCAGGAGGGCCAGTGCAGTTAACGGGAGGTTTGGAAGGAGGCACTACTGATGCAGGTCCTGCAAAGAAAATAAATCCCTGGAGTTTAGTCAGAATCGTACCACCCCGCCCTTGACTCACATCTAATTGGAATGGGTGCGCTTCAAAGCAGTAACTCATTCACACCTCTCCTTCTCCTCCCCGCCCCAGCCTCCACTCAGGTAACACTGACAAACACCGTTCCTAACATATGTCCGATCTTGCGCCAGGTACAGGAAACAAATAACAAATAGGATATCAGCCTTCCCTTCGGGATCACCATTCACTAGGTGAGGGGTCTGACCACAGCAATCCACGGCATCAAAGTCACACGCACTCAAGCAAGCATTCTGATGGGGCTGGGAAGGTACGGGTGTGCAGAATATAGGAAACAAAGCTGCGTGAGGACTCGAGCACAAAAGAGGACTTGCATTTTAAGCAGCTCACGCAGAGAAGCCCAAGAGATGGTCATCCTGGAGCACGGCCCCCTTTCCGGGACCTGGGGTTTTGTCTTACCTTGACAGGTCCCGTGACTGATCAAGATGAAACCCAGAGCAACAATGAAGGCGGTGCTGGTGCCCCTCTCGGCCTCAAACATCAGCTGAAGGTACGAGGGAGAAAGAAGCAAGAGAGAAATGAAAGTGAATCCCCGTCAACTCAGCGACTCTCCGGGCAGAGGGTCTGTCCTCTGCTAAGATGTCGCCTTGTTCTGGCCTCAACAGTGCAACGGGGGCCCGGGCCCCTTCCAGGAGCCAGAGAGCCTCACAGGGAACACAGAGCACCCTCTGCTCTGCTGTTTTTCCAGTGTCCCATCCTCTCAGCCCTGGTTGTGCTCCCTGATCCCAGGCGTTATGTCCCCCTCACCTGGCCTCACGGTGACACTTAAAGAGCGACTCTCTCTGTCTCTCACCTGCATGGGCTGTTGATGTCCCGAAGGGACGGTGATGGAGTCGTTCAGCCAGTCAGCGCTTTGAGACCCAACTCGTTCCCAGAGAGGAGTTGGGGAACTGTCCGCAGGGCTCCCCAGCAGAAGCCTGAGCTTCGTGCCATTTCCGAGGCCATACATGTGGTAGGTAAACTCCACACAGATCGCACCAGGGGCACAGAAGGTCCGGCTCGCCAGTCTGAAAGACTGGCCTGCCTGGGAGAACTTGTCAGCCTCAAGGTAGACAAAGTGACCCTCTGGGCAAAAGAAGGGAACAGGCAAGGTGAGAAACCTGCAGAGGACAAGTCTGGTGCTTTCTTGAGCGACATCTTGCTTTCCAAGTGGGGATTTGATGCAAACACCCAAACTCTCCACATTGCAGTGGGTTTTTTGTTTGTTTGTTTTGTTTTTTTCTCTGCTCATTTTAGACTTCTAACTAAGAAGTCAGGATCAGAAAGAAAGGGAAAACCAAGCCAGCAACCCAGATTCCTTTGTTGGCTGCACCAGTAAATGTCTTGACTGAAAATGACCCAGTGGATTTTGAGGCCTTGGGCTCAATGAAGCACTATACCTGGATCTTCTGGGGGTTTCAAGTGATCCCAGAACCACGAGAAGCCTCAGCTCACTCTACCTCTGTGGCCTCCACAGCTCTGGCCCCATGGCGGCTTCCCAGTAAACACCCGCTGGCTGACCCTCACCACCTACATCTTGCGCCAATCACACCAGTCCACCCCCTCGCTGGGAGCAGATTCAGTAACTCGTTGGCTTGAGGGGTCCTCCATCTCCTCACCTCCATTAAGGGAGGCTCCCGAGGGGCCTGTACCCTGGATGAGCGTGTTTTTACTTCCCTGGGTCCAGTGTCCGCCATCCTGTAATGCCTGGACCCAGTCACAGAAGGGATGGGCCTCATCTTCAAAGTCACACTGAGGAAAGCTCTCTGGGGGATCAAAATGGGATATGGGAGAAATCTGGGCCATGCTCTCTATTCCTCCCCCATCCCCAACCCCCATTCTCAGAGCTGCTCTCACCCCCGCAGGGAGCAATGCTGATTGCATCCACCGCCACCACTGGCTCTGGGATCTCTCCAAACACGCCCACCACGGTGAACTGAAGAGAGGGAGAAGGGGCCGGGAGTGAGCAAACAGCCCAAATGTTCAGCCCCCTCCATTTGATTTTACTCTCTTCAGGGACCCAGGCACCCGGCTTCCAGGGCCCAGATCTTCAGTCCTTGTCAATAACAGGTGCGCCTCCCACGTCCAAGGAGACCTGACACCTCCTGCTCCTCTGTACCTGAATCTGTCCCTGGCCTGTGTAATTGACAGAAACGGGCTGCCAGTTGGGTCCGGGTTGTCCTGAAAAGAGTGTGTGTTTCCGGCCGCTGCCTACAATGGAAGGAACCCAAGAGAGCAGTGAGATGACTGGGGGCTGGAAAATGACTTCAAACCTATACTCAGAAGGATGAGTAGCAGAGGGACCACTTGGAGTGGATTCCCCTCCCTGACGTGCAAGCACGTCCTTCTCTCTCTCACTCTCCTGGCGTTTTGATCTATTTTTCCAGAACCCTGTGCCTTCCGCTCCCAAATTCCACTCCGCAGAATCATCTTGCGAGTATCCCAGATTTCCCTAGACCCCAAGAGATGCCCCCACGTTTCCTCGTCAACCCAACCCCGGGAGAAGAGTCTCAGGACAGTGTAAATGCCATGACGTTGTCACTCTCACCCAAGTCAGAAGCATAGACCATGAGGGCTGCGCCAGGAGACTGGCCATGTAGGGTGTAGTGAAAGGACAGGCTCAGGCAGCCGAAGGACTGGATCAGAGGGCTCAGGAGGGCAGAGCTCTGCCTTGGTTTTGCATTCTTGGGGTCCAGGAGCATGTAGAAGCCACCTGGGAAGGAAAAGGCCAGTAAAGTGGGGGACGGCACAGGGATAGGGGCTGCGAGGGCAGGGAGCCTGGCGCTGGGGAGCCCTAACAGTTGCCTAGGATCAGCCGGCGCTGAGATGGGCCTAAACCCATCACACGGCTGGCTGAAGCCTTGGTTCCTTCCAGAAGTGCTTGGCAGGTCTGGGTGAGGACGCGGGCGCCGCCCAAGAAACGCGGCATCCTCTCAGAAGCAGCCAGAATCCTGTCCTTTGGATTCAGACTTTTGAGGTCCCCCCACAGTCACAACCTCTTCCTTTTCTTAACCCACTGGACATAGCTGATTCACGCAAAGTGGTGAGAGTCCCGATCTGATGCTGACCGGCAGGGATCTCCTGCCCCCTGCCGCCAGCTCACGCAGCCAATCACCCTGGACCTCTCTCCGTGACGCAACTGGTAGCCGTGGGAAGGAGGGGGGAATTAAAGAGGCCTCAGACCGCGCGCACGCACGTGCCGGACGCCCCACGGGGTTCTGCCTGGAGAGTGAAACCCGGAAAGGTGGGCTTCTGAAAGGGAGAGAAGACGGCTGAAGAGGAGGGAGTGGGCAGAAGTGCGAGAGAAAAGAAAGGAGCCAACAGGGAAGAAGGAGGAAAAGAGTAAAATGGTGAAAGAACGCAACAAGTGTCCATACTGGGACGTCTGAGAAATGGAAAAGGAGATGCAGGAGAGAAAGAGGAAAGATGGAAAAACGTAAGGAAGGGAGCAAGGTGGAAAAAGGAAGAGAGAGAAAATGGAAAAAAACAAACAAACAAACCCAACAACGTTTACTGAAACTGCTGGGCACGGGATTTGGTGCTAAATCTAAGGGGGATGCAGAGATGGGCGGGCCCTGCCCTGTTCTCCAGGGGCTTAGAATGAACGTGGGGTGGGGTTTTCACCAGGTCTTTCTAGAAAGCAAACCTCAGGCAGCAGGAAAGATCAGAGGAAGGAGAGCAAGGATTTGGGGGGAGGGAAGGATGGAGAAGAATGGCCTCTGTCCTTGCTCCATCCCTTCAGTGGATTCTCATACAAAAAAACCCAGGTGATCCTTTTAAACGTAAGTCAGATAAGGTCACTCCTCTGCTCCAAATCCTGCAAAGGCTCCCCATCCACATAGAATAAAAGCCACAATCAGTCCTGACAATGGTCTGCCCCTCCTAGGACCCGTCTGAGCTCATTCTCTCCATCCCAACCACGTGGCTCCTTGCTGCACTTCAACACCCACCCCCCAAGCCACTGGTACCTGAGGGTCTTTGCATGGCTGGCCCCTCTGCTTAGAATGTTCTTCCCCTCGATAATTTCGTGCCTCACTCCCTCACCTCCTAAAAGTTTGTGCTCAAATGTGACCTGTCTGAGATCTACTCTGACCACCCTATTTAAAACTTACAACCCACCCTACCCTGCTCTCCTGATCCCCTTACTTTGTTCAACTTTTTTTTTTTTTCTGATAGCACTGGTCATCTTAAAGCTTATATAATTTACTTCTTTATTGTTTCAGGAACTGTCTCCTCCTTGTCCCCCACCATCCTCTGTCTGTTCTGTAAGCTGATGCATCTCAACGGCCTGGGACTTGGCATATTGTAGGTGCTCAATAAATATTTGTTGGATGAATGAAGAAGGAAGGGTGCCAGGGAAAAGAGGTGAGGAGTCGGCTGTGTTGGGTCTACCGGCTGTAGGGCTTTTGGGGTGGCAGTGGGGGAAACTGGCTGGGTGCTTAGAATCTGTTTTCTGTCCTGTAACTTAAGCTGATGGAGGTCTGAGCTTGCTGACGTTCGCCCCAGGCCATCCCAAGAGAGTTATTGTAGGGTGGTCAGGCAAACATCGTAAACTCCCGCAAAGGTCACTAGAAGCTCAGAAAGTCAAAGGACGGAAGAAGCATGGCCATTACTCACTACCAGGGCTAGAGAAGTCATCCTCAGGCCCCACGTTCAGCACCCCTGTTGACCCCTTCTTCTGGACCCACTTGGCCCCAGAGGCCGTCGGGATCCAGCTCCAGCCACAGAGATCATTTGGAGTGTCAAAACTGCACGTTTGCGTCTTGCAGACTGAGGGAAAAGAAAAGAGGAAGGATTTAGCTTTTTCTAAGGGGAGGCAGCTCAGAAAAGTATGCCTCAAACACAACATTGTTAATCAACTATACTCCAATATAAGATAAAATTTTTTTTAAAAAGAAAAGTATGCCTCAGTCTGGAGTCAGAACTCTTGAGTCTCAGTCTGGGTCCTAGTGTGAGCCACGGCCGGCTTGCAAGCCAGATATGGACTTGCTCCCCAGTGGCTGTGTTCCTGGCACGGATTACTTAGGCTCCCCAAACCTCAGTTTCCCCATCGATAAACTGGGAACAACAGCACTTGCCTGTTGTAAGTTACACCCCGTGTGGGAGCATCTAGCACAGTTCCTGTGCTCAGTAAGTGTTGGCTCCTTGCATGCAGCTTCTGGAATGTTCCTTCCCTTGAATTCGCTCCCCTCAAATCTCTAACATCAGCCTAGAGTGCTAATTCTGGATAGATCTGGGGTGACAGCCAGGTTGACCAAATGTCCAGGTTTGCCAGAGACTGAGGGGTTTCCTGAGATGCAGCACTTCCGTGCTAAAAGAGGGACCGCCCAGGGCAAATCAGAATGGCTGGTCTCTCTAGGACAGGTGTCACCACAATTCTGTGTTCCAGGAGAACGTCTCTTTAGATGTGGCTGCTTCAGGGGTCAGAGGTGTGGGGTGTGGAGGTAAAGGGAAGCAAGTCGCCCCAACTCTGGAAGAAACCAGGGTCACAGTCCCTGAGCTACTTACTCCTGCCACCTGGGCAGATGTACAGGCGTGGGGGGAAAGAGGAGGAGGGACGGGGGCTCACCCCGACTGCAGGAGCCCCGACGGATAGAGATGGCATCCAGAGCGATGTCCAGATAAGCTGTGCTGCCCCTGACTCCTTCAAATGTCAGCTGCGGGAGGGAGGGGGGATCACCCACGCTGTGAGCCCCTTTGCCTCGGGCTCCCACTTTCCTGCCTGAATTCAGGTGGCCCAGCCCCCGTGCCCCCTCCTTGTCCCAACCCAGCCCCTCCTGGACCCCCCACAGCCAGATTCCCACTGGGACCCCAGGCCATGTCTTCGGCCTCACCCGACTGGGCAGGATGCGCCCGATGGGCACCGTGACGGCAGTGGGTATCCAGGAGGGGCTCTGGGTGTTCCTGTGTTTCCAGAGCACGTTGGAGCGCTTGCCCTTGGGGTCCGTGGTCAACAGCAGCTTGAGCTGGGCGCCCCACGACGGCCCGAACATGTAGTAGGCGAAGCGCACGCACAGGAGGCCTTGCTCCCATACAGGGGGGCTGCGCAGGCGGGCCACCCCGCCCGGGCGGAAGGTGTTGGAGTCCATGTGCAGGTAGTAGCCCTCTGGGGGAGGCAGAGCCAGGGATGGTGAGGCCCTGCCGCCCGCCTTCCCAGAGCCCAGGTATCACTTCCGGCCGCCTCCCTGCACCCAGATCCGCCAGCATCCACCTCCCAGATGCCTCCCTAAACCTTCGGCTTCCTCACCTCCATTGGGGTACCCGCCGGGGGGTGTGGTGCTGCTGGTGGGGGAGGGCTCACTGGCCCGAGTCCAGGCCCCGTCATCTTTGGACACTTGTCTCCAATCACAGAGGGGTCTGGAGTCATCCTCAAAATCACACTGGGTGAGAACGGCTGGGAAGAAAGGGCCACTGTGAGACCAGGAGAGGGCAGAGGGGAGGAGGTCGGCTGCAGAGCCAGTGGGGCTGGTGGGGGGGGGGGGCGGTAGGAGGTGGGGGGAGGGAAGCAGAGCAGGGTTGCCAAGTGGCCACTAAGATTTAGGGTCCAGAGCAGAGATTTGGGAAAGGGAAGCTGAGAAATAAGTCTTCTCTTAGGAGAAATTCAGGGCTGGGGTCGGTGAGGGGCAAAATGACTAGGTCAGGGGTTGCAAACGGAGGTCGCAGTCAGGCAGGCTTGTCTGGGTAGCATACATTTGTTGTTCGTTCGAATGTGGATCTTTCAGGCGGGACTTGTACTCTACTCCTCCCCGGTTCCCTCCCCGCTCCATCCTCTGAGGGCTGCCCTTCACACATTTATTACATATTTATGTCATCACCCTGCCTGAGGGCACCTGGGGTGGCCACCCCTGGGAGGGACTGAGCAACCCCCCCCCCCCCCCCGCCCCGGGTTCCAACTCACAGTTTTCCCTCGAGCTGCGAGAGACGGGCTTCCAATCCAGAGGCTTCTCTTTCCTTGGCATTGATTTGGAGACAGAGAGAAAAAGAAACAATGTGATCCTCGTCGTTACCAAGAACTGTTAAGCCTCCAGGACTGTGAGCTTTCTGGAGGATTGTTCCTTTCTTTTTATCCATATTGTATCAACGTGTATGCAGTGACATATATTTACTTGAAGGTTTTCAAAAAGGTCACTCACAGCCTTCTCACCTTAAGTTGTCATCTGTCTCCTAGAAAGCATCTCCCCTCCAAGCTCCTCACATCCCCACTGGTCCCTCCACCCCTCTATGCCCTGGATGTCACGCGGGGTTCTCTCGCATGAGAAAGAACCAGTTTCTTTGTACGGGAATTCTCACGCAGCGCCTAAGCGTTTGGCCCTGAGCAATCTCCTTCCTTCAGGTCAAGGTCTTCCTGTGCTATAGCCCAAGTTTTCCCCACAGAGTAGGGACTGTATGGGTCCCATGTTGCCAGGTAGGTGTCAGGGATGGTATTGCCCCAACTGAACACACAGATGAGCAACACCTTAGAAATTCCACAGAGAAGCCAACTGCCCTTTTCCAGGTGGTGTGGGCCACGTAGAACAGCCCTTTGTTTTAGTAGTTCAAGTCCTGCTCGTTCAAATCCCCTCAAACAAGCTCCAGGACACCAAGCCACCCATCATTTCTTGCTGCTTCCTACTTGCTGTCTGTCTGTCCGCTGGGTCTGCTCTGGGTGTTGTCCTTTTTCTGAGGGCCCGACCTCTCTCTCCTCCCCTGCCATGCTCAGACCTGTCTCCCCGGCTCTGCACCTCCTTCCTCTCTCCTCGCCCTTCAGCTCTGTCCTGCTCCCACTGAGCTGCTCACGCGTCTCAGGTCCAGGCTTGTGGGCTGCGGGGCTCCACCCACTCCTGTTCAGCATGCTTCTCACACCCATCACTCCCGCCTTCCTTACCAGGGCCGTGCCCTTCATCGCTAGCCCACTTGCCCCTTCCAGCTTCGCCCCTCGCTCTTCCTCAGAGCCACCCCCAGCTGCCCCCTGAGCCCAGCTTACCGGGCAGGGGCAGGCATGAGGCCCTGGCCCCAGGCAGCCCCCAGCAGCAGCAGCAGAGTCCAGACTGGAGGAGCCATGCAGGACCTCAGAAGCAGCTCTCAGGGGAGAGGAGAAAGGCAGAGTGAGGGGTTCAGGCCACCTTATTCACCCCCGCCCCTCCTCGCTTGGCACCCTCCTGAGGATGCCATGAACACTGGACAGAGAACACAAGAAAGCTCTGGGAAATGAGAACTATGAGCGCCGAAATTTAAAAGCCAGTAGAAGAGTTATACGTTGAAATCAAGAGAAATCAAAATGAGAGCAAGAGAGAAGGAAAGAAAGAAAGAAGGGAGAGACTTGGAGGGTTGGTCCAGGAAGCCTAACATTCAACCAGAAGGGTTCAAAAAAGAAAGAACAAAGGAAAAGAAATTACTTAAGAAAAACCACAGAAGAAGATTTCCCAGAACAGATGTATGAGCCTCTTGATTAAAAGGGGTCTGGCACGATGAATGCAGAGAGACCCATGAAAGGCACGTCATGAAATTTCAGAACATCAGGGCTGAAGAGAAGATCCTAAACACTTTCAGACAGAAGAAAGCAGGTCAGTACTAAGGATCAGGAATCAGCATGACACGGGACTTTTCACTAGCAACCACGGATTCTATGAGGCAGTGGAACATTGTCTGCAGAATTCCAACAGAAAACCATTTCAAACCTAAAGTTCTATAGCTAGCAACAGTATCGAAGGCGACGGAAAGATGGAGTAAAGTGAGGACTGAAAATGCTTCTTGGCAAAGAATTGAAAAAGACAAGTCACAGAGGAAGACCTACAAGCAGCCAGTATACGTTGGAAAAGATGTTCTGCTTCTGGGGCTTCCCTGGTGGTGCCGTGGTTAAGACTCCACGCTCCCAATGCAGGGGCCCCGGGTTTGATCCCTGGTCGGGGAACTAGATCCCACATGAGTGCCACAACTAAGAGTTTGCATGCCACAACTAAGGAGCAGGTGAGCCACAATTAAGGAGCCCACATACGGCAACTAAGGAGCCAGCAAGCCACAAGTAAGACCTGACACAACCAAATAAAAAAATAAATATTAAATAAAAATTTTTTTTAAATGTTCTGCTTCTGTTATAAGAAGGGAAATGCTAATCAAAACTACAACTTTCATGTTGACAACAATTTAAAAGATTGAAGCATTGAGTGTTGGCCAGAATGCAGGTAGACACACTAAAATACATTGATGCTAAGACTGCATGTTGGTGAAAACGTCTTAGAAGATAATTTGACAATGACCATTTAACTTTCAAATGTGCTTATCTTTGACCCAGCGATAACTTTGTAGGAATCTTCCCACATAAATACGTGCGTATTTTCACAAAGATGAACATACCTTAAAGACGTTAATTGCAGCATCATTTACAATAGGAAAAGAAATCGAGGTTACCTAAATGTTTGCCAGGAGATGTGTGTTTGGATCATATTCAAGGAATATTATTTATACAAAGGAATATTATACAGGTATTAAAAAGAATGGCACTCCTCAAAAAATTGACAGTAGAATTACCATATTGCCCAGCAATTCCACTTCTGGGTATATGCCCAAAAGAATTGAAAGCAGGGACTTGAACAGATACTTGTACACCTATGTTTATAGTGGCGTTATCAAAATAGCCAAAAGGTGACAGCAACCCAAGGGCCCATAGACAGATGAGTTTTTTTTTTTTACTGAGATATAGTTGATTTACAATGTTGTGTTAATTTCATATGCACGTGTTTTGAGGAGAGGTGTAGAGATGGAACTAGGACACACAGACAGCTGTTCATGGTGGCTCCCTCCGGGAGAGGGTGGCCGGGCTCTCCATGCATTCTGCATACTTATGCGCACGACAAGGATGTTTCCAGGCCTTCCTGTGTAACGGGTGTGGTTCATTATAGGGACCTTAGTGAAAGCCATTTGAGGGGCCTGGTTGGGAGGAAATCAGACTGGAGGGTTCAAGGAGGGAGCGGAAGTTGAAGAAGGAATCCCACCAGGAGGGGACAGCGTTTGGGGGCTGTTTGGCCATCTAGAGGAGACTCGGAGGGCAGGTGCTGAAGTTAGGACGAGGTAAGGTCTTTTCAAAATAAGAGAAATTTTAGCCTGTATAAATACTCATGGGAAGGTGGGTGGGAAGAGCTCAGAACGAAAACGGCAGGAGGGGCAAAAGCCAGCTCTGTGATGGGGGCGGTGGGGGGATGCACCATGCCGGTGCACATCTAGCGGCTTCCGTTTTATCTGTGAAGTAGCAGGTGAATGGAGAAGGTTCTGCTGGCAAGAAGGTCACAGGAGCCCCCCTCCCAGGCGAGCTCCCTGGTGGTGCTGCCCACAGCCAGCAAGTCCCTACCTCCCAGCCCTGCCAATGCTAGCCCTCCCTCTGCCGCCCACCCCTTCCCACCTTCTGCCAGGCTCGACAGCTGTATCAATGTGCATTCCTGGGGCTGGACAGATAAGTGCTTTGCTACGGAGCGGAGCGTGGAAAAGGAATCCGTGACTCAGGTCACTGATGACAGGAAGGGAAGGGAGCTGGTTGGGGAAGGCTTTTGGCAAGAGGTGACACCTGAGGGGCTTTCTGAAGTATCAAGAGGGACTTCCATGGCGGTCCAGCGGTTAGACGCTGAGCTTCCGCTGCAGGGGGCGCAGGTTCGATCCCTGGTCGGGGAACTAAGATCCCCCATGCCACGCGGTGTGGCCAAAAAAAAAATACCAAGAGATGGTAACTAGGCAAAGAAGTTGGGAAGGCACATTCCAGGAAGAGGAAATGTTCAAGCTTAGAGGGAGCATGACACTTGGAGGATAGATGAGCATGTGTGTTTGTGTGTGTGTGTGTGTGTGTGTGTGTGTGTGTGTGTGTGTGTGTGTAGGCAGGGGCCCTGTCTTGGAGGACCTTGAATGCCATAGCTTTGTGGAGCCACCAAAAGTTTTGAAGCAGTGGGTGTGACTTGATTCCACTTGCGTTTTCAAAAGGCTACTCCAGCATCCCCAGGTGGATATGGATGAAGGAGGGGCTGGGCAGAGCTAGGGAGACGGGAGGGGAGGTTGTGGAAGGTGAGAGATGGGAGGGGCCGATGGACGCTGGTGTCAAGGTAGCGGGAGTGGGGGATGCAAGTGGATCGAGATCTTTCCAGGAGCCGGAAACAGCAATTCTTGCCGGCTCACCTAACTGAATCTCATGTTCTCCCTCTTTCTTAAAAAAATGTATTTTATTGAAGTATCGTTGATTTACAATGTTGTGTTAATTTCTGCTGTACAGCAAAGCGATTCAGTTGTACATATATATATACTTTTTCATATTCTTTTCCATTATGGTTTTTCACAGGCTATTGAATATAGCTCCCT